ATTAATCTCAAAATATTTTATATTACTATAGATTTTGGTTTATTTATACAAATGTACAGTTATTTTGCTATAATATATGTATGTTTCTACTTTTGTTTGGGGTATTGTGCTTATGCAACTCATTTTAAAATGTACAGTTAAGAAATACAGGTTAGGGCTGGAGAGATGGCTCAGAGGTTAAGAGCATTGCTTGCTCTTCCAAAGGACCTGAGTTCAATTCCCAGCAACCACATGGTGGCTCACAACCATCTGTAATGGGGTCTGGTGCCCTCTTCTGGCCTGCAGGCATACACACAGACAGACTATTGCATACATAATAAATAAATAAATATTAAAAAAAGAAATACAGGTTAATAGTCATTGATAATAATCAAACTTGTAGTCATATTAGGTATTTTTCAAGTTTAAACAGATATATTTAGATAGCTATATTGTCTTTAAACTCTTCAAAGACCTACAGAATATGGCATTTAAAGTGTTTAATAACCTAAGTCTTTTCAAGACTATGAGATAACCTTGCTCTTGACAGAACCAAAATACTTCAAAAGTAGATGATGGAAATCAAAGAACCTCCTTATGGAGTGTTTTTTTTTTTTTTTCTGCACTGGCTGCTTTATTGTCGGGTTTGTGAGTGACAGCTGTCACTGAACCAGCCCCTACCTTTTCTACAAAAGCAATCGAAGAGGAAAATGGGCACCCGGCAAAGCCCGGCCAAGGGATCTGGTTGGTCAGCAGCCTTGACTCCCAGGTCACAAGCACAAGGAGGTGGGAAGAACGGGAAGTCCAGTTAGTTCCCCGAGGGCAAGGTGCTGGTAAGGTGGCTTAGGAGACTGGAGGTCCCACAGCTATTCCTTGCCTGGGATGTCGAGAAACTGTCACCAGGGGAGCCAGGAACCTAAAGCTTTGGGGCAGGGCCGGGAGCTGAAGAAGGGTGCAACTCAAAGGCTTTCAGAGTCATTTGAGACATAAGGTTCTGAAGTTTGAGGCCACCCTGGGCAGCATGGTGAGACCCAGCAACCCCTCACCTCCACGCCAGCTACAGGCAGCCAGGGCCACTGTTACAGCCACACACACGTCTACTCCATACACAGAGGGAGGACTGTCACAGCTCTGGACCTACACCCTGGAATGTCTCTGGATTGGCTCCCAAGTCGGGGACTGTTGAGGGGCAGGTCCTTGTTCCTGCTACTGATTGGCTGCCTCGCAGGCGTCTATCCAATCGCTGTACACATCCACTGGTTCTGACAGATATGTAATGGGTGTCTGGAACTCCTCTAGGCACACGGTGCAGGAGATAACTCCAGTGTTGCGAGCACGGTCCATTTTCACATCACAAGACTTCTCATGGTTGCAGAAGGGGCAAGTGAACTGGGTCTCCAGGGTGTCTGTCATCTTCTTCTTGGGGGGTGGCTTCCTTTTAGACTTCCTTCGTCCCATGGCTGCAGGGGGATGAAACCTGTACCAAGCCTGCCTCGCAGCCAAAGCCGCTACACCCAGGAGACGGAGTTTTTTTTTTTTTTTTTTAATGGTAAAAGCTAGCCATTTGGGCAAGAAACTGTACTTGCTTCAATTGCTGATAGTGTACTGTCCAAATTGGAGCAGTAGGACACAAAAGAAAGTGACTGCCAAACTTTGTCAAGACAAGGTAAGAAAGTTTTTCGAAAGTTCCTCCTTCTCAAAAATGTCTGTCAGATATTCTAGGCCTATAGGTTGAAGATGGATGCCCCAACGTTACAAAAGAAAATAGGTGATGTCCAGGTAGCCAGTTATTTCTGTCATCTCTTAATTTAGGAAGTCCCTTGTTCTGCACTTCCTGTTTACTCAGGTAATATTGTATTCTTCTCAGGTCTTTGATGGGGTTGATAGTTACATTTCTTCCTAATCATGGTAGAAAGCAAATTAGGTACAAAACTCTGGAATCGTCAGGAGAGGACAGCTGATGGATTATTTTCTCTATTTTTTCAAATACAAATGGACTGCATATTATAACTGTAATTCTTACTTGATAACTGATTTGTTGTATATAATTTTATTTTGTTAAATGTAAAATGTTCCCTTTTTAATTAGAACAAAAGGTAAGAAATGTGGACTATTCCTTTACATGTGTGAATATATGTCACTGTAATTAGGTTAATTAAGAAATTGACTGGCCAATAGCTGGACAGGTAGAGGTAAGACAGGACTTACAGACGAAAAGAAGGCACAAAAAAGCAGACGAAAAGAAGGCACAAAAAAGAGGAGGAGTCTGAGAATTGTGAGAATACACACTCAAAAAAAGGAGACTTCAATTTCCCAGACTCCAAAAGACAGTCCAAATAGCCAGACGTGGACTCACCTTATCTTTTTATTTATTTATTTATTTTTCTTTCTTTATTTATTAAAGATTTCTGTCTCTTCCCCCCAGCCGCCTCCCCTTTCCCTCCCCCTTCCCCAATCAAGTCCCCCTCCCTCATCAGCCCAAAGAGCAATCAGGGTTCCCCGCCCTGTGGGAAGTCCGAGGACCACCCACCTCCATCCAGGTCTAGTAAGGTGAGCATCCAAACTACCTAGGCTCCCACAAAACCAATAGGTGCAGTAGGATCAAAAACCTATTGCCATTGTTCTTGAGGTCTCAGTAGTCCTCATTGTCCGCTATGTTCAGCGAGACCGGTTTTAACTCCTATAGATAAGTTGAGTTCTCAGACCCAGGGAACTCACCAAGGCCAGCTGCTGCCCCTCTACAGAAAGGAGTCATTTCCCTTACCACAGGCAGAATGAACAAATGGCTTACCCATGGTGTCAATTAGCATACCAAAGCCAGTGCTGGCCTCAGGGCTCCCTCAGTATCACAATCACTTTTCTGAGTCCCTGCTACCATCCTAGTATACTTGATTTTTTTGTGCGTATGAGAAATAACGATCTACACTTGTGGACATGAGCCTGTCTTTTCTCCAATGAGTATTTCCAGCACTTTTACAAAAAATAAGACATTTATAGCCCTGAGTGTTCATGCCTGAGTCTTCCATTCTGTTCAATTGGTCTACATGCCTATTTTTGAGCTAGTAGCATGCTATTTTTATTACTGCCTCTGTAATATAACTTGAAGCCAGATGTGGTGACTCGGTAATGCCTCCAGCCTTACTTCTTTTGTAGAGGTTTGTTTTGACTATCTCAGGTCTTTTGTGTTTTCAAAGGTATTTTAAGTTTGTTTTACTTATGTGTGGTGGTTTGAATGTAATTGGCCCCTATAATTTCATAGGGAGTGGCACTCTCAGGAGGTGTGGCTTTGTTGAAGTAGGTATGGCCTCCTTGGAGAAAATATGTCATAACAATAGGAGGTGGACTTTGAGGTCTCATATGTGCTCAAGTCAGGTCCAGAGTCTCAGACCACTTTCTCTTGCCTGTGGGTCAAGACATAGGAATCTCAACTCCTTCTCCAGCGCCAAGTCTGCAACACAAAGATCTCTCTGCCCAGGCAAGGTGGGAAATTACCATATTAACAATGAAGAAGATTCTCTGCAGCTAACCACCAAGCAGGGCAGGGATAACACGGAAACACACAGGAAGCTTAGTTAACTGATTATAAACTGTCCCCGCCAATGCACCCCAGGAATAAGGGAGACCAGGGCCCTACATTAGTGATATATAGGAACATGTCTTTTCTTAAGTGTTAATTCTATACTCTACTACTTTGCTTCAAGCATTTATCATTTGCAGGAGTTTCCTGATGGAAACTTTAAGGTCTCTTGTATATAGTCATTGAACTGTCTTTCTTTCTTGCTTTCTGTTAATGATAAACTAGTCAAACTTTGGAAATAAGAAGCTATACTGAATAACTGCTATGTTCCAAATATTAGGGAGATGAAATCCAAATTCTACTCAGTCTGAGTTGTAGATTTTTATACAGGTGCCTTTTACTTTACTGAAAAAGTCCTTTTTAATCTTAATTTTCTAAGTGAGTGTATAAAAACTAAGAGCACTTTTTTTGTGTGTCTGGTGTCTATGGCTCCTTTTTCAGGGTCTGTTAGCACAGTGAGTTATCTTAACTGGCTTCTGAATTAACAACTCTAGCTCGTATTCCTTGCCTCACAATAAACTCAAGCTTACAAGCATCATTATTTTGTATATGTTGTTGTGGGATTCAGTTTGCTAATATTTTTGTTACTTGTTTATTACTTTGGAGATGGGAGTTTGCCCTATTAGACACGTTATCTTACCTCAGTAAAGTTATCTCTTCTTATAGAATTTATCCTAATATTATCAACTTAGTCTTATAGGATAAAGTCGAGGATTCTGAGCTTAGCTTCTTTTAGGCTTTGGACTGTGTCTCTGGATCTCGGAGTGGGGCAGGCAGTCTGTCGTTTCAAAATGTAAATACCCAAGTTTCCTGAAGATAAGGGACCGGGTGATGGGAAACACCGAAACAGTACAGCGTTCTCGTTTATCAAGGAAATCTTTTAGAAAGATGAAGGAATTTTAAGTCTCAGACCTGTTATCCCACTCTCTCCACTTTGCAAAGGACTTCATCAAAACAAAGTCCTTCGCGTTGCCTGGCGAAGTCTCTAAACCAGGTAGCAAAGGCCACGCAAAGTTGGTAACTGCTCAGATAAAGCGTGTTGGGGGTTTCAAGCACGGAAAAGGGCAGGCTGCTTATTTTCACTATTCAAATGCCCCAGAACGCAGCCAACCTTGCGCGCAGACGCAGGAGGAGCCCGCGCCACTCGGAAAGCCTTGCCCCTCCCGGAGGAAGTGGGCGGAACCTCTCGTGGCGACTCATTTGCTGCGGTGCCTCAGTACGTTCGACGTCACTGCGCCGCGACCCGGAAGTGCATGTGAGGCGGGAGAGGGCAGGTCAGAGGCCCTCCGCGTGGGAGTGCTGCCTTCATTAGGGACCCAGGCGACTCGGCCGGTACCGCGTGCGTCCGAAAGCCCTTGGGGGCGTGGGGGGGGAATGGCGGGAGGTCGAAGATGCTCCGCCCTCTTGGCGACGCCCGGTCTCTTCACCGAGCCGTGGGCGGCCGGTGCCGGTGCCCGGCGCGTTTCAGAGTTGAGTTAGCGAAAGCAGGCGTTTCAGACACACGTGGCCTGCTCCAGCGTGCCTGTTCCGGGGCGCGTCATTTTCCTCGGGCTCCTTTAAGAGCTATGGCCCGCCGAGGCAACCCCGCCACCTTCCTACTTTGGAGGCAGCAACCCTGAGGTCGGCGTTGGGTGGGGAAGGAGGGTGATGAGCACGTGTAACTGATCTGTTTTGGAGATCAATTGTTCCAGCCGGTCTAATATTTCATTTTCGGGGACCCTCTTCCCCTCTTGCTTCCGATATAGTAGACGTGTGAGGAGTACAGAACTGGGTAGCTGCCATCCGAAAGGTTTAGTATTCCTTAAAGGGTCACTTCCAGGTTCTTACCCAGAGAGGGTTTTGCTAGTTGACTTGTTTGATAGTATTTGCTTGCCTTCATTTTGAAGCTTAATTTGCGTGCCCGTGTGTTTCCCTTTGTAGATGCGTGGTTGGTGACTGTCTCCAGATGCAGAGGCGCCTGTTTCCTTTGCACAGGCAGGTCCTGAACTGTAGTTGGAGTAGATTGTGCCTTCTAAAGCGACACCTATTTACAATGAAGTTGCAGTCTCCAGAATTCCAGTCACTTTTCACAGAAGGCTTGAAGAGCCTGACAGGTGAGAGGTGAAGGTAGCCTTCTGTGCTTTGGAATTGTTCACCACAAATAAAGGGGAAACATCTTTTGCCCGATTTTGAGATAGTTATTGTGGGGCTAATGAAAGAAAGGCCTGCTTGGGATAAACTGAAAATCATAAACCCAATCACTACAAGTGGGGAGTTGACTGTAGCATAAAGCACAGCTTTTCTATGTCTCTAAGAAATTCCATTTACCCATCATGAGACCCAACACCTCTAGATGTGTGTATAGGAGAGGAAACACCTAATTAGGAAGTAAAATTCCTCTTCTGTTTCCCAAATAACTAACTGAAGGAGTTGGATTTTAAATTTGCAGAGTCTGATGTCATGCAGTTTGTAAACAGTGAAGTTACAGTTTCTTCCTTTGTATAATTGCTTTCTGAGAGAACGGAAGGAACTAAAAATTATGTCCTCTTTTTCTGTGTGAGCACCTGTAAAGCTTGTCTGGGAGGCAGACAGAAAATGGCTGTTGCTACAGTTTTGTCAGTATTGGTCTTTAACGTGAGCAAATGATGTTGAAGCAGCCCACAGCTGCAATTTAAAGCTTGGGGGTATGCTAAGAATGACTTCCAGGAGTACACTGCGTTGTGTGGGTATGTAAAACACCTAGGATGCACTTGAGGTGCCTCTTTATTATTGGGATGAGCAGAGTGCATGTTCTGTGTTGAGGTCAGAATTCTACTTGTAGAAGTCAGTAGTCTCCACCATGTGTGTTCCAGGAATGCAACTCAGGATATTAGACTTGATGGTAATTACTCTTACCCACTCAGACATCTCACAGGCCCTTGAAGTACTTTCAAACCATAAAAGCTAGGATTCTATCCTACATCCCACTGACTCAGAAGGAAGAACATCTGTTTGCTTTTGTTTTAACTCTGTACACTAATTCTGTTGAACAAACCGGGGAACCATTGGTTTTAGATTATTATGCTGTTCCCAAAACTGCTTTTTATTCTTCATATGAGATAATGGGTACCTACAGAGGAGAACGTCCTTTTAAGTTCTTTAGTGGAAGCAGAGGGTTTAAATACAAGTTTACGATGCTGTAGTCACAGTGATTTAATCGGAATGAAAAATTCTAGAAATTTGCTCTCCAATAGAAATATATAAACCTGCATGTGATAACCTTTTCTAGTTACATTATAAAACTAGAAAGAAAAGAGTGAAATTAATAGCTCTCTAAGCATTATATTTAACCTTCTGTAACTAACAAGCTATCACAGGAGTATGATTTTTGTGAAAATGGTTATTCTTGCCACATTTATGCGTGTTAGGCTATATCTAGCACATATAACACGTCTCTATTCAGATTCACACATTTCAAATGTTCAGTAACCATAAGTGGCTATCAGCTTCCTAACAGCTCTAATATAGGTTGATTGAACCTGTTCTTTTCTCACGTGCTCTCACAGCCCCTAGTTTTCCCAGTCTCTCTTGCCCCTCCTTTAAATAAAACAATACTTACGATGTTAAGTATTATAGTCTAACTCCTCTAGTTCCTTCCCTTGCCACCTTTTTTTTTTTTTTTTAATAACCCATCAATTCCAATTTGTGCTGCCCATTCATTCCTAGGTGTAGAGCATAGCTTCTCAGGGGTCACACCCTTAAAGCCCATTTCACTGCTCTCTATAAGTAGTGTCTTTCCGAGTTGGTGTTACCGGATAAGAAGTTGGACCATTGGCCAATAAGCTGGATTGACCAAGGTGAAAAAGTGCTTGTAGTGAAGCGCTCAGTGCAAACAAATTGAAAGTAAACTGCAGAGAGTGGTAAAGGTGAAGTGTGAGGCAGAGATTAGAGAGAGATGAGATAGAAGTGAGATATGGGAGCCGTTGTGTGTTGTGTTAGAGAATTTGGACGTTGCAGTACAAATCTTTAGGAGGAATTGCCTAGTGTAATTGACTCTGGTGCTTTTGAGTAATCCAACTATGGAGGCTGGATTTAAGGGACTTGGCATTGGAGCAAGGAGATCTATGAAGACACTGGAGAGCCCTGAAAAAGCCCAGATTTTAGAGGCCTGTTTTAAGTGTTAAAGGAAACAGATCGCAGCTTGGACAGTTTTTCAATTGTTTGGGACATGGACCTCTCCATTAGTGTTAGGACATTTGTGAACATGATTTTTACATTTTAAAGACCCTTAACGGGTATTTGGTTGAGAGACTTGATTGGAAATTAAGGGAGCAAAACCCTTATTGGGGAGGGCTTATGGAAGTAGAATCGTGTGTAAGAGCCCACGTTTATTTTAGACACGATTGTTGAGTCAAGCAATTTTAGAAAATCTAAGGTGGAAGAAGATTATGAGAGGAAAACATGTTGAGGATTCTATTTGAGTTGGGAGTGATTAGGGCTGAGTTTAGCAGAATGCATGATCCCCAAGGACACACCAAGCTGCTTCTTGCAGTAAAGGAAGACTACTACCTATGGAGAGGCCAATGACCTTGCAACAGAGCATTTTCAAACTGACTTTGCAATATTGGGTCCTGGATTAGTTTGTTTTGGAGAGAGGTTAGGAAGTGGGATCTGAAGAAGATTGTCTCTTTTCAGGAAAAAGATGTTATTCTTTGGTTATCAACTTATAAACCACAATTTTCATCTTAAGGGGAGCCATGTGAGCCCAGGAAGACAAACTTTTAGGTTACCTCAAATTCCATGTTTCAACGTGAAAGCAGTTTCACTGTTTTATAGAACAGAGACAGTCATAAATCAATACAAGTTTAAAATACATTGGTGTGGTACATCAGAAACGAGGTGCAATGAAATAAATGAGTTTTTCTATAGGATTGAGTTGCTATCTGCTGGCATACTTGGCTTTTGAATTGGTAGAAGCTAATTGTTTGCTAGTTTATCTTAATTTGTGGCTAGAAAACACAGACTAAAACTGACTGGAAAGCGGGGGCAGTCATTCAAGAATTGTGCAAGGCATGCCTTGGATAATGTTTGTACGTTGTATAGCACAGATTCAAATTAGTTTCAAACAATATGTGCAGTTTCGTTTTTTAAGAGTTCTTGGCTCTAATATTTATCATAAGTTTCATGCATAAGTTTACTGTCTCTACATTTGTCCCAAAGACAGAATAATTTCCATTTTAAAGTGTACACATACACCACAGAGAAACAATCAGAATTGTTTATTGCTGTTGAAACTCATACTTACAGTGATGATCTTAAGGCATCTTAGAATTCTGTACTATCTGCTGGATCAGAAAGAAATTCTCAAAGTTCTCTTTCTACAGTTCTTAGGGGCAGTCTACTGTAGGGAACCATCTCAGATGTTCAGACCTTTTTTTGTTGTCTTTTTTTTTGAGACAGGATTTTCTCTGTGTAGTTATGGCTGTCCTAGAACTTGACCAGTAGACCAGGCTGACCTCGAACTCACAAACATCTCCCTGCTGCCTCTATGTTGAAGGAGGTCACTAGTTAGTTCCTGGCCGCTTAGCCCCGAAATAATCACACAGAAACTGTATTAGTTAAATCACTGCTTGTTAGCTCTAGGTTATTATTGGTTAACTCTTACATCTTAATTTAACCCATCTCCATTAATCTGTGCCTCACCACGAGGTCCTGGCCTACCAGCAAAGTTTCAGCATGTCTCTCTCCAGCAGCTGCTCCATGGTTTGTCTCTAACTCTGCTGTTCTTTCTCCCAGAATCTGTGTTTGTGGCTTGCTAGCTAAAGTTTCTGTGTCTGTCTCGGGGGGGGGGGGGGGGGGGGGGGGGGCGG